CGCGCCTCTTGGCCGCTAGGCGGGAGACCGTCAGTAGCTAAAGCAGGCCCGAAATCCTCGGAGTCGGACGCTGTAGTGTAAATAATATCTTCCAGCCCGAAAGAAACCGTCTCGCGTGCTCTCGGGCTGGGGCATAAATAATCATGCGAAAACTCGACTGGCCGAACACCGCGTGCGTGCTCGGGAGAGGGAGGGAGAGAAAGGGCCTGGCCCGTCTGCTCGTACTCTATATCCTCGAGCTCTACATCCGAACCCCAGGTCGCGGATTCGCGGCCTCGGGAGCGCGACGGGGGGGAACGAATGACTCCTCAAAAACCGCGAGCCGAGAGCGGAGGGTTTTGAGAAGCAGGTTGTCACAAAACTTGCATTTAGACAAGCCTAAAACAGCCTCGCGCGCATGCGAAAAACCCATACATTTAACACACTTACTGTGAGGGTCGTTCGCAATAAAGCGAACGCATGGCGGCGGGCAACGACGAAACTCTATGGCACTTCACCGCAAGGAAAACTGAGTTCTACTATTCGCAGTCGCTGAAGTGCAGATGAAGAATGCTGATGATAAATCCGAATTATTTGGGCCAGAAAAACCGAGACCGAAGGGCTTAAGATGGCCACTTCGTGAAGGCAGAGAAATCTGAGGAGCAGATGGCGCGCGCGCTAGAGGTCTGCACGGGCTTTAAACTGAAGCCCGAACCCGGCCCGTACCCGCGATCATTTAACCCGACCCGACCCGACCCGACAATTACATTTACATATTAAGCCCGAACCCGACCCGAACCCGAGGTCCATTCTGTTTCTCACAGCAATACCATTTTTGCAATATGCTATGTTGTATTTAATGATTGCTTGACATATTAAACAAATACATGTAGGCGCAGCGGCCCTATCAGCAGGCAGCACAGCAGTAAGAGAAAAAACTTACCAAGTAATTTTTTGCTTTATCAGACTCATGGTTTGCTTGTTGTCGTCGGCTGTTTGTATTGTGACTGAAATAGCGCGCGAGAGCGGTAGCACATGCGCAAAACAGTTTTGTGATATAAATGATATGATAAAATAAAACAAATAATTAAAAATATTATATTCATATATCATTATATTTGAGAGAGAGAGCCTGTATGCACATATTGCACATCTGCGGACGTAGCCTATACTTTCTCTCTCGCGCGTGCCGGTCACCACAACACAGCAAGCAGGCAAAGCACACGGCACGCAAACTATATATAGCCTATTTCGTTTTTCTTAGTTAAACCCGAACCCGACCCGAACCCGAGGCTGTTCATTAACATTAACCCGAACCCGACCCGAAACCCGCACATTTTTCGGGACCCGTCGGGCTCGGGTCGGGTAGCAGACCTCTAGCGCGCGCGCTAATATAATATGACGACGCAAGAGCGTCGGGGCGGCACCCGCGCCATCAGCCAATGAATTGTCGTGATTCTATAAGGGCTTCAGACAATCGGCACACCCAGAGGGCATTCCCTCTGCGTCTTAAGCTACGCAGCGTTGAGTGAACCTATGAAAGAGAACAAGTATGGCTTCACACCCTCAACTAACAAGGAGCTTTTGTAAAAAATTTACTTTGAAAACTTTTCTTTACAAATTAGATGTCTATCCAACTGTCAATTTACAATAAAAATACATTAATAATAAATGAGTACTCTTCTTTATCTCTAAAGCTTTGTTTCAGTGAGTGCCTCTCGATGTAGCCAGTGCAATTGTCAGAGACATTTGTGCAGAGAATCAGTGGTGAAAGCAGGACCTTGAACTTGATGTTCAGGATGAGAATTCTGACTCACAGCTGTATAAACCAAATAGTCAGGATGTATACATATATGTACGTTCAGTGGTGCCTGACACTTTTTTTTTTTTTACAAACACTTGAAGCAGGGAAAACTATAGCAAATGTTTGGAAATAAAAAAGTTGGTAATGCTTTACAAAATTAGGCCCCGTTATTAAACGTTAGTTAATGTATTAACAAACGTTAACTAACAATGAGCATTTGTTACAGTATTTATTAATCTTTGTTAAAAGTTCATGTTTGCTCAGGTCCAATAAATAATATTAAGCAATTTATAACCCTGTAAAACCTTACATATTAAATAATAGTCAGATAATAATTAGTGCTGGGCCGTTATCGGCGTTAACGTGCTGCGTTAACGTGAGACTATTATCGGGCGATAAAAAAAATATCGCCGTTAATCAAAGTTGGGTTGGGATCATAAATAGCTTTTTCGAATATCGTTATATTTTCGCGCAATTCTAATGTGTACGCCGCGCCTACTGTCACAGATCGCGCGCAGTAGGGTATTTTCCTGTCAGGGACACAAGGTGTACTTTTACTTTGTTACGTTGGGCGACGTTCCTCTCGTTACTTTATTTTAATGCATTACGTTGTTAAATTAGTTTATTCCAAGCGCGCTGTATCCTTTGTATGGGCATGAGCGATGCTCATTTACAAATGAATCACTCTTTTGAGTCGATTCTGTTCAAAGACTTAATCAAACAAGTTGTCAGATGATCTGTCTAAATCGGTTCGCGAATCAGTTGATCTGTTCAGTTCCTCGCGCACTGAATCGTCTGAAGCGCTTTCAATTCACACTCGGAGTCGAAACAGGAAGATTTAAGAGCATCAAGAGCGTTGGATGAAGTGGCCGATCTACAGTCTAGTCTAGTGAATGCAAATCTGCAAATGCATCATATTTTTGCCAGCGATGACGATCTTTATTAGTTGAAAATCTTCGTAAGCTGTCTGTGAATGAATGATTCCACAGGACGATACATTCGATTTCATTTCATCATAGCTGCCAACTCTCACGCATTGGCCGTGAGACACCCGCATTTGATTGGTTTCACACGCTCACACGCCACACTCCCGATTTCTCACGCTGAAGTGTCAACCCGGGCGGTCAAATGCCTGGAAGATGAGTTTATCTATATATCTACCTGTTGAGCCACTCGTGATCGACTAGTTATACCGCAAATTCGTTAAAAATCTCCCGTTATCTAGAGCGAGCGTGCATGCGAGACAGAGATTGTGCTCCAAACCGCGTAGAGCGAGCGAGAGACCTTGCGCGAGCGAGACCACCCCCCCCCCCCCCCCCCCGTCAACAAATCTCACTCGTCTCGTCTCCCTCCCCCCCCCCCCGTCAACAAATCTCACGCCGAGCAAAACTCAAAAGTTGGCAGGTATGTTTCATTCAGGTAATACATTGTGTGTATTGCGCGTGTATTGCGCAGTGGCATAATCACACGAATAGTTTACATTGATTGAAACTAATTTGTTTAAAAATGAGGCTATTGCAGTAACAAGGCAGGTTCACATAAAATTCTTATGACATATGATGACATTATTTTTTGATCTAACGAGCATTGGCGATGCAAAAACGGACTGTCGTGCGTATTGTTTTTCTTCTTCTTCCAATTAGCCTACTATGTTAAAAAAAGGACGAAACCATGTTACTTGTTCAATTAATAAACAGTTTGTTTGATGACAAATCGCTAAAGATGAAATTGGCCTCCCTTTCTGTCATTGCGTTTTTTTTTAGTTTTTTTTTTTACGATATTCGACTTTTGCTCCTCGATTGTCGAATGGCATTTTTGGCAGAAATGCACATCCCTACGCGAGGCAAACTATTCTCAAAGACTTACTTTTAGTCATTATTTGGGTAGCACACATATTCTGAATGCCTTCGGGAGAATTCAAATGAACCATTTTAATCTAGATTAATCTAGATTAATTTCAATATTAATCTAGATTAAAAAAATTAATCTATGCCCACCTCTAATAATAATACATTTATGTATCAAATATGATATAGTAGGCTTTACTGTACGTTCACACCGCCGCCGACTTGAGCGTCAAAGAAGCTCTGGCCGCCCTGTCAAGGACGCTTGTCAAAAAGTACGGGGAAGCTTGTTGACGCTTTGGACGCTCTGACGTGTCAGGGAGAATAGAAGTGTCACAACATAAAATGTAATAAACAGGAAAAAAACTAGCAATACATTAAAGAAACCTTTTATAATGACAGCATTTTTATAACCGGTTTGGTCACATTTGGTCGGGGGAAAAAGAATAGAACTATTATTATTATTATTTGCGGTCAAATCGGTGTCACCGTGAGCAAATGAATTGCATTCCCGCTTTAAAACGAGCGATCGTAAATATTTCAAATAAAAGTTGCGCTCTCACGGTCCCTATAAGCAAACAACGTCATGTCAAAAATGATAGGAAACCCAGCAACGGCGATTATTGGCTTCTCTTCCATTTTTCTCGGAACTAATGTTTTGGTAGGAACGAAAGTTTACATCGTGTGTTTCTCCGGAATCAGCCAGCGCGAGGGACGTCTATATTCCGATTGGTTGCTGGCGTTTTGCCGCTGCTTGCCGCTGAACCGCGTCACATCTCATTACCATAAAGTTGAGCTTCTTTCAACTTTCTGATTGACGCTCAAGACGCTCAAAACGCCCAAAACGCGACGCCGATGGATTTGACGCTCCTTGCAGCTGAGAGAAGCCAGCTTCCATTGAAAATGAATGACTTCCGGCCGCTTTGGAAGCTCAAGTCGGCGGCGGTGTGAACGTACAGTTATGGGATAAAAAGTAAAAAAAATTAATAATAATAATTAAAAAAATGCTTATTTGATTAATTTATTTTTCCTATTCAAATGTTTATTAACACACATTATCAGGTATCACTTACCATATCAGGCACATTATCACATAGTTGCAGTAAAAGTGCTAAGATCAAATATTATTCAAATTATACTCCCCTGATGTCTTCATCTGGATAATCCAACGTCCTAAAGGAAAAGGACCCTGTTCTGTGATGTCCACATGTTTGTTGCAATAGTCCACTCAGTGGTTCCATTTGTTGCTATTTTGATATTTTACCAGTAGATGGCAGTAGAAGTATAGGGTTGGTTTACAGTGTCCTATTGGTGGGAACCAGTCATGTAATCATGCAGGACTACATTGAAACCCCTGTGTGTGTTTATTTCAGTTGGTTGACAAATGGTACAAATCCAAAGACGATGAATCGTTTGCCATGGCCCGAATGCTTGTAAGAGATGAAGGGCTGTTATGTGGTAAGAACATGATCTTTTATTAAATTTCACCTTTATAATGTCTGTGAATTTTTCAACATGTTAAATGTTTATGAGAATATTGAAGTAGGTATATGCTGCATTGTTTATCAGTATAATGCTCTGGCTCTGTTGTCAGGTGGTAGTTCAGGCACTGCCATGGCAGCTGCAGTAAAGTTTGCCAAAGAGCTGAAGGAGGGTCAGCGCTGTGTCGTGATTCTGCCAGACTCGATTCGAAATTACATGTAAGGAGGAGTCTTACTGAATAAAAGTAATCAGTTTCAGTTTGTTTTTCCAGGGAACACAAACTGATAAATTTGACCTTAAATGCGCTTTAAGTTTCTTTAGTTAAAAGCATCTGCCAAATGCATAAATGTGTGCATGTATGTATAAAATAAACTGTGTAAAAATACTCTAAAGGTCCAAGTTCTTGAGTGATAAGTGGATGTTCCAGAAGGGATTTCTGAGGGTGGAGGACATCATGGTGAATAAACCCTGGTGAGGAGAGGATCAAAACAGCAAACAGCAAAATATGTACAATTTATTATACAAAATATCAAACCATCAATTTGAATAGTGTGTAACATTTTAAACACAACTTACCATTGTCCTGTGAATACTTTTCAACTTTTAAGTTAAAATCTATCTCAGTTATGACCCATAACTGAGGTTTTATTTTGATGATATTTGAACATTTAGTTTAGAGAACACATTCATCTATTCATCTGTAATGTTATTTAAAAGGGTTTTGAACTAGGTGTTTGAAACCATAAAAAAACCATTTCACTCCACTCTTTTTAGTTATTGAGATATTGTGGATATGATAACTTCTCTTTGTGAAAGCTATGGCCATTTTCCCCTGTTTAAATATATACTTAATTTATGAACATTTATACAAAGTCTAGTTATTTAGAACCTGAGCAGCCTCTCATTTGTTTTTGGTCCTGTGTACATTCTTCATTTATCTTCATCTGTCATTCAATTTCTTCCAGGTGGTGGAATTTGAAATTGCAAAGTCTAAACCTCTGTGCTCCCCTTACTGTGCTGCCCACAGTCACATGCCAAAAAACTATCAAAATTTTGAAAGAAAAGGGCTTTGACCAGGCACCTGTCGTAGATGAAGCTGGGTGAGTGAAAATGCAACTAAGAACATTTTCATATTCAATTCAAAATAAAATGGTGACGACCTCACTTTGTCAATGTAAATGAAGCTGATTGAAAGTGTTTTACACTACATTTGAATGAGGACTGGAATACAGTTATGTTTGGCTTCCTCTCTGCAGGTTGATTCTGGGTATGGTGACCCTGGGAAACATGCTTGCTTCTGTGCTTGCAGGAAAGGTGAAGCCCTCTGATCCTGTCAGCAAAGTGCTCTACAAACAGTTCAAGCAGGTGAGTCTAGTGCAGGACTTTTAGAAAGGGTAGTTTTTGCTCACTCAATCCATCTGACATTACTTTACCATTTTGCCTGTTTTAGATTCGTCTAACTGACAACATGGGAAGGCTGTCCCGGATCTTGGAAACTGATCACTTTGCCCTGGTGGTCCATGAGCAGATTCAGTGTGAGTGTTTATTGTCATGGCCAGGCATATGAGTAATAATTCTTCATTGACTAGATAATGTGCTCTCATTTTTTACAAAACCACATTGCATGCAGTGTAACCCAGATGTCTGATTTACACTGCTTAAACTTTTAACTTTACATTAATCTTGTCAGGATTTGCTGACAGAACCCAAACGCAGAACAGCCAGGGAAACTCAGAAAGATCTTTGACAAATAAAAGGCAATACAAAAAACTGGGCAAAAATAATAAACCCAGACATCAGTGAACAAAAGGAAGAAGAAGAAAAAACAACAGCGAAAAATGTAAAACTCACAGGCTAGACTAGACTAGACCAGACGACGGCAACCAGAAGCACAATATGGAAACAAAACGAACCAGCACAGGACAGAAAACACAAGGGAAATAAATAAGGAGGGTAACGAGGGAGATCAGGTGGGGCAATTAAACCAATAATCAGGTAATAAAAAGGGCAGGGTTAAGACAATAGACAACGAAGCACATGGCACATAGAAACATACAAAACAAGAGAACACAAGATTGCCTGGCTAATGAAAACATAAACCATGTGCTCGACAAAAACACATGAGACAAGAGTGCACAGTGAGTGAATGAACACTAAACCCATGTGCATACAATAAGAGACAAAACATGGAGCATGAATGTCCAACCCTGGACACTGAACTGAAACCGAGCTAGACTGAAGTGCCGTGATCCAAACACCATACTTTGCACTTACAATAGAAACAAGCGGACGAAAGAGTGTGCGTAACTCGAAACCACCCCAAGGGGGTAATCCACCAGCCGGAAACTGAAGTCTCCCCGGGGGCCGCCATTGGCTAGCAAACCTTCACCTGCTGTTAGCATTCCATTGACTCCCATTCATTTTGGCGTCACTTTGACAGCGAATAACTTTACATCTGAGGCGTTTAAAGACTCCATTTGTCCATTGTTTATTTCTAAAGAAACACGACAATGTATAAAAGGCTCCATTACCTTGTATCTTACGTTATGGCCCCGTAGAAGCAGTTTTTGTAAAAATAGGCTAACGATTGCATCATAACACGCGACTCTGTACCACATACTCACACAAAGACAAGACGGTAGGAGCGTCAGAGCTCTGTCACCAAACCAAGAATAAACCAAAAAAATGTAGTGACAACCCTGACACTTCTTAGAGATCATATCATATATTCTGTAATTATTTATCCCCGAGGTCCACTTATAATGGCTTAGCGTGGTGCATAGTCGGCCTCTATAATTCAGAGTTTATGTGAAAGTGTGGTGATGGTGAAGGTGACAATGATATAATGATGATAATAATATTTACATAAACATACAATAACCCGTCTGTATAAATTCAAAGATTTAAACTCAACAGTCTAGCACATTCTTAATCAGTTGCTACCTAGGCTTATTACAGCCTGCTAATAACTGTCCCTGAGTACTGCATTGAACGGGGGCCTGTAACCAAGACAATACTAATTTAAATGAAATTCTTATCCTATATTCCTCAACATTGTTGCTTTAAATGACTGGTGAGATTAAATTTGATAAATGTTAAGCTTGCATCAGACATTTCGACAACCCATTATAATTGTGGATTTTTTTTTCATGCAAAAATACTTTTGTCTTTTTGCTTTGACCTAGAATTGTGAATGCAGCCAAAGGCATTTTTTTAAACCTTGAGGTTTTATCCTTCTGATCCCATATAGCCTTAGCACTGAGAGGATGATGAGAAGTTTTTTTTAATTGCTTCTCTGTTGTTGTTTTTTTTTGTCTCAGACCTGACGGATGGATCCTCCACTCTAAAGCAAATGGTGTTTGGAGTGGTGACCGCCATTGATCTCCTCAACTTTGTGACTGCTCGAGAGAAAAGAGAGAGATCTATGTCTGAATCAACAGATGAATACTGAAGGAATTTTAGCACTTCCTGCCTCAATCTGAATGCGATTTACTACAAAGAATCATACTTTAAAGGTATAGATGTCATATAGCTATTACATCTAAACTTGGGCATTAGGGTTGGGTGGCACTGCTTTTTACAATTATATTTCTTGTTTTCATAGCCAATAATTATGTACAAGTGTATAAATGTATGTAAACAAATTTACAGTGATGTTTAAAGGCATCAGAACAGGGTATACATTTTTTTTTTTTTGCCAATGGTTGGTAAATTAACTAAATTTACTGGCCATAAATAGTTTGTACTGACCATGGCTGTGTATTTTGCATTGTTGTTATTCAATTCAGTTGTTTAAATTACTATGACAATGGAATTGTTTTGCTTTGTTTTCCTTGCTGACAAAAAGTCATTGTCTGACTGTGTCCTTTGACTTGTCATGTTGCAGTTACTAATAAAAGTATTAGCCAACTGGGTAGTTTTATTTTTGTCCACCAAATCCAGTTTTTGTTTGCATTTGCTGCTTGCTTGGTGGTAATTTTGAGCCCTGCATCAGTTTTGTCAACTGTCTTGGCTCAAATGGTTGAACCAAATCGTTCCAAGGTTTTGGTGTAGTTAAAAAAAAAATAGTTTTTCAGCATTATTATTGTAATTTGTTTTTCAATTTGCTTTCATTACTCTAGCCTTCTTACTGTATTAAAAAAGTTTGTATCCTGGTATTGTCAGGATAAACCAGACTCACAGATAGATTAGTGAACCCAACCAGTAGAATATTGCACAGATGAAATAATGGGAAAATGTAGGTGAGCAAATGGTAGATACAGTTAAGAGAGTGATAGCTACTGGATAACGACTCTGTTACAACTGTAACCTTGGCTCCCTGAAGAGGGAATGACACGCTGCGTCGATTGACGCTGTGGGAACGCTCTGCGTGATACGTCTTGAAGCACATGTGAAATCAGTCCAATGGTGTAGCGGAACATCAGAATCGGGTGATGTCACGAACCAGGAAACTATAAAGCCTGCCCAAACCAAGCACCGCTAGCTTCTTAATAGTCTGAAGTAAGACGCTGACAGGCACGTAGGAGGTATGGTAAGATGACGCAGCGTCTCGTTCCCTCTTCAGGGAACCGAGGTTACAGACGTAACCGAGGCATTCTCTTTTAAGGGAACTCACGCTGCGTCGATTGACGCTGAGGGAATGTCTATACCAACATCACAATAGCGAGAAGTGACTGTCCTGTGTGAAATCGCGAGGAGCAGTACTAGGACGAGAGCACCTGGGACCCTGGTGTAGAGTCCAGGTCCAAAGCATAGAACCTTACAAATGTGTGCGGTGAGAACCACCCTGCCGCATCACAAACATCTTGGAGAGCAACTCCTGACATAAGGGCCTTAGAGGCCACCATACTCCTAGTAGAGTGGGAAAGGACAGCCATAGGTGAAGGCTGTCCTACCGACTCATAAGCAAGTGAGAGAGCCTCCACCACCCACTTGCTCATTCTCTGCTTTGATGCTGGGGACACCTTGTTGGGCGGCCTGAAACATACGAACAACTGTTCAGTTTTACGCCACAAGGCAGCTCTGTGGGCATAAGCATTTAGTGCCCTAACTGAACACAGCAGATTATTCTTTTCCTGGTCTAGATCATGGAAGGGGGAGGACAGAAGGCCTGCAGCATTATAGATCTAGCCACGTTTGTGGGGACCTTAGGAACATAGCCTGGTCTAGGGTAAAGAAACGTTTTGATCATACCAGGCTGCAAATTCAAAGCATGAAGGTAAAACCGACAAGGCTTGCAGATCTCCTATTATTTGGTGCAGCATGCAGAAAGAAGTGATAGCGAGGAGGAACAAAGCTTTTAAGGTCAGAAACTTGGCCGGAACCTCTTCAATAGGCTTGAAGGGAGCCAGGGACAGGCCTTGCACCCTGGTACGGCACCCTGGTACGAGCTGCAGGCCTTAGCCTCAGAGTACCATGGTGGGGAAAAGGAGATACCAAAGGGTTTCTCCCCAAAGACATTCCACCCAAAGGAATGTGGTAAGCATATATGGCCGCCACATAAATCTTTAAAGTGGATTGGGATAGACCTGCAGTGAACCGCTCTTGCAGGAACTCCAGCACTGTATCAACTGGGCAGTTAACTGGGTCCAGCTGACGAGCACTACACCAAGAAGTGAACACTCTCCACTTCAGGGCATACAGGTTCCTCGTGGAGGGAGCTCTGAAATGTAAAATGGTCTTCTCAACCTCGGTTGAAAGACCAGAGCTGAAAGAACAATGTAAAAGCCATTTTAAAAAGCTTAAAATAACAGATGTTTCAATTTAAACAACAGTATATTTTTGTCTTGAAATAAGTCTAGTAGAGTATATGTAAAACATGTAATATTCAGAACATGTTGTTCATTTCCTAATCGATAATATATCAACAAATAATGGATAGGATGGAGGCCATAAACAGCATCTAGACTAGAAGATACTTGCAAGATACAGATGTTTTCATCTTCTCTCCAGGCCTGACATAAAATATCATTTCACCCCAAGCTTTTGTAATAGTTATGTTCATGGTATAGTCCACTGAGAAACGCTTCAAACAAAAGCTGCTGACTGAGCTGAAACCTGGCCAAAGATTAAACCACTCATCCGGTGGCCTGGTCGCCCATCCTCACTCCATTGGCCGGTTCACCCCTCCCACGGCTGGGGCTGTTTGCCAAGGCTGTTGAGTCTGTGGTATGGAAAAAGGGCCTTGCTGGTGGTTTACAGTTAAGCCTCACCAGCGTGCCAGGTGAAAGCCCCCAGGGATTACCCTAATGCTGCCCCACAGAGCAGAGGGGAAGTCATCACATCTAGGATCGGAATTATGGGTTCAAAGCTTTATTGGTCGGACAGATAGTACTGTAGATGAGTTAAATATTCCACACCAAAAGCCTTTGCTAATCCATTTCACTGTACATGTGTATGTGTGTCAATGCACTTGCTAAATGCAGTATTAAATTATTACCATGAAAAACAGCAGTTCTGCTACCAAAAAGTATAGAGCATGCATATTGATAATAATTATCATGGTACAATCAAGAGATAATTCATGTAGATCATTATTTCAATATTTATTACTATTTTCTCTACAGGATTATCCTGAAAGGAATAGTTCACCCAAAAATGAAAATTCTGTTTTCATGTCACCATCATACCATTCGATACTTGTATGATTTTCCTCCATCTGCATAACACAAAAGAAGATATTATGAATAATGCTTCAGCTGTTTTTGTCCATTCATTGAAAGTCAAAGGGGTTGAAATATTTCAAGCTCCAAAAAGGAGCGTAAAACAGAATCCATACACATCTGAATTTTAAGTGTCTATTCACTCTCAAATCAAATCAAATCAAATCACTGATCAATTAATGTATGTAGAGACCAGATCAAATATAGTGACACTTCACTGTAGTAATAGTGATACAAACAGTTTTATTCAGCTCTCAAAACGTATTAAAACTTTTTGATCTATTTTGACCAATATGCAATAATCATCTTGTTTGTTTGCCCATGGTTCTGCATGCTTAACTCAAGCTGTATCGTATTTGATACATACATTTCTAAGGCATCTAAATTATCAACATGTTCAAAACTTTGATGAAAAACCTGTTGTATGCAATCTATCTACTACATGACTTCTGTTGCCTGATGCCTTTTACCATAATTCTAAAAATGTCTAACTTTAGTTTGTGGTACACGTGTCTTTTTGCAGTGAAATCTTGACTGGTTTTTATAAGGTTAAAGTAAGAAAACCCTTTATATTGTTAATGATATGTCAAGATGAACACTGAACTGAAGCAACTTAGAAAAATCAAGTTAAAATGTGATACAATTATGATACACAGGCTTTTGAGGAACGTTTATTTGTATCTCCACAATCAAAACTACAGAGCTTTGTTCACAAAACTAAAACACTTTATGTGAGTAGTCTGTTATAAACAACAGCAACTGCACCAAATTATTGCACAAAATATTTTTGCTCAGATTGGCCATCTGAATACATTTTATGCGCTTTCAGTGTGAGCCTCATATTCTCATATCATACTACATGACCCATAAAAGCCTGATGTATTAAATATGATACTTAAAAAAAGTTGTTTTAAAAAATATATGTTGTCTCATGGACCAATAAACTTCTATTTAAAAAAAAAGAAGATTTTTCTGAATATTAGTTTATATGTCAGGCTTTAAAGGTTTAAAGGAGCTGTATGTAAGAAATTTATTTCAATTAATCATGAAATGGCCCTGATATGTCACTAGACATTAAGAAATCATGTTCATTTCAAATACTTATATCACTGACAACAGTAGTCCGGCCAGGATATTGTCATTTAAAAAGTGAAGTTGCAGCCCTCAACTGATGTTGATGTTGTCATGTTGTGTTTTGGTCTGATGCTCCACCCTCCACCTATCTACCAATCACGAAGTCAGTAGTGTTGCGGGATCCGGGTTGCCAGCTCTGCTCTAGTTACCACTTCTTGGAGCAGACTACGTTCCTGCTGGATCCTGCAGCCTATCTGGCAACCTCGAGTCAGGGAGGAGGGGGAGGGGATACATCGCTCTACAGTAATTTGAAAGTGATTGTAGTACCAGTTTTGGCCACAATCTTACATACAGCTCCTTTAAAAATATGTACACTGATGTTTAGTTTGATTCTGCAGAGCATGGGAATTGCAGTCATTCACTACATTCCCTGCACTAATCCCTCTCTTTACTAACTGTAGTGCACATGTGATTCAGGATGTTATGTGATTTGTATTCTGTAGTAACATAGTGCCAAAAGAGGAAATTTTAGGGTCGGTTTCAATAGAATGTTGCAGACTAACAACTAACAACTAACACATATAACATTTTATTATCAATTTTGAGGAAGAAATAAGCATCTGAAGACCTGCACTTTTAAAATAGTCAGGCCTAAGAAACATCAGGTGAAACAAGTGGCCATAACACACCATTAGTAAAGTTCTGCAGCTACTACTTAATCTGTATGGTCTGGTTTGTTTTGGCAGGCACTTATTTCCCAGTGATAGCTGGCCACCAGAGTATTGCCGGGAGCCATTCAAAGCTAGACTGTCATTCTCAGGTCAGTGTGCACCCCACCAATTCTGCTGACACCACTGTTCCCACCATGAGATAATGCCATTCCAGAGAAATCCACTTGTAAGCCCCTCTTTCTGAAGCACAGGTATATAACCAGGGGGTTTTCTCCCCTGAGGACGGCACACATCATTTGGGGATCTTTGTCTACTGTACCAGCCTATATCAGCCTCCTCATACTCTCCTCCAGTCTACATCTTCTCCTTCGAAAGTTTCCTCAACATCAAGTGGAAATAGTCACAGTCAGACTCAAATCGCTGAGATTTGCCAGTCCACTTTAGCTAATTCAAAGTTGAGAATTTCCAAGCCTGACATTATGGATATTGCCATCCAACACCCCTGGTTCAGACGCAACATGGGCTATCCCACCCGTCTCTTCGACCAGTTCTTTGGAGAAGGCCTGTTCGACTATGACCTCTTCCCCTTCGCTCCCTCAACTCTCAGCCCCTACTATCGACATTCACTCTTCCGCAACTTCCTGGACTCCTCCAACTCAGGCATCTCTGAGGTATGAATTCTTAATTGCGAATTGAGAAGATTTTGAATTTTATAATGCCATTGTTGATGCTAAAGCCCAATACAGGTTTGATTATAATTTAATCAATTTAATAATTTTTTGGCAACCAGCATTCAGTATTAGTATCACCCCAAAGTGAGGTAGGCCTAAATGGTGGATGTGAAACTTATTTTCCGGAAAATACATTTCAAGAATTTTTCCTTACAGACTACAGGAATTAAATCGCAAATAAGACCAATAAAAAAATGAGCAAAATCAAAACCTAATCTTTGGAAATATGCACAAACTGTGACAGAAGGCAAAACAGAATCAGGCTAAATTTAAGAAATCAACAAAACTGATGAATACAGCGCTGTAAGAAAAGAAAAAATATGTAGAAAAATGGATAATGTCCTAGCAGAAAAGTACATTCAACCCAAACATGATAAATATGAAGGCTGGACAACAGTTTTCCAGCATCCCTCCACCACCACAACTCCTCACTCTCGATTGTTCCTATCCCGGCCAGAGATATGGGGGGAGTCCTCAGGGTTCGGGCACAATTCTGTCCTCTCGGACACCACGTCAAATATGCATACTCATTACTCTTATCTGATTATATGTAAGTGTGAACTTGTGAAACTCCAATTGACACCATATCGATGTAATTGCACTGCTTGGCATTTTTTCAGGTGAGGTCTGACAGAGACAAATTCACAGTGTACCTGGATGTGAAACACTTCTCTCCTGAAGAGCTCAATGTCAAGGTGACAGATGACTATGTGGAGATCGAGGGCAAGCATGCAGAAAGACAGGTGAGGTCACGGCTCATTACGACAGGACAGATAATCTATTCTTATCTTCTCAAGAGAGGTTAGCAATTAGAAACTTGGAATTAAATTAAATTAAATTAACCATCCAAATGTTTTCTTATCAATTGCTGTGCTGATTCTTTCTTATAGTGGGAGAAAGATTGAAGTTGAACACATAGTAGTGAATCATTATTTAATCCGACTCTGAAGTTTGTGTATTATGCTTCATTTAAAGTGATTTAGTTTGTTTTCCATCAAATTGTTCAGTGTGCAGTGAACTATGAACAGTACAACAGTATAATAGTATAAGTGCTTGTATGTGTGAGTTCAACAGTCTGGAAGAATTAAATAGTGTAACAAATGCAGTAGCCTATGATAAATTCTTGTCAGTGGATCAGTCTGAATTCTTCTCTCTAAAAATCGCAACTTTCATATGCATCACATAAAGTCAGAAATGAGCATCTTTGACATCTGGAACAACTATAGGAGTGAGTGTAATTAAACATGACAAATGAACTATTCTATAACTTTAGTGCATGGGAAAATATAATTAATGATTTCATGAAATCACATCATCCTAACTAAATAAGACACTGAATTTTCACAGACAGGCATTTAGCAAACTCTTTGGAAGTCATACAGAGGTAGACTGCTTATATTTCAATGAAGTACCAGTTGTTCTACTGAAATGGTTTTATAGAAGCAAAATAAATTATTTGAAATTTAGGGAGCAAGTAATATTTGTATATGTGAAAAGATTTTTTAATACAAAAAATATATATATTTTGGATTATTTAAGCTTTTATGAGATCATTATTTTAAAACTCATCAGCCATTCCAAGCACATTCATCTTTGCATTGGTCTCTTTTACCACCTCACATATCCAGTGCTGGGTAGATTACTAACTAATTGTAGTCGGTTACAGATTCCAAAAAAAAAAAAAAAAAAAAAAAACTAATTAAATCATTAAAAAAAATCATTTAAATAAATACTTTTAAAATAAAAACAATCAAAATAAATCACTTATTAAAAAAGATTTTTAAAGAATATTTTGTTGAACTTAATTTGATTATTATTATTATTATTATTGACTTAATTTGATTATTAGTGACAGACAAAAGCCTTGTTTGAAAGACAAAAGCTTTCCAAAGACAGTAATACGTGTTTAAATGACTCAGTGTGTAATAAGGAGCTGATTAGATGCAATGTTAAGAAAACACTTCTTAAAAGTGAAATGATTTCTGTAAATCCAGTGATCAAATGCAGTGTGGGTCTCAGTTTTCAGTGATAGGCTCATGAATAGTGGTTTGTCTGTGTGCAATTCAATTCATTTCAGTAAAAATAAGTGCTAGGGAGAATCAATGAATTATGAATAATTTGTGAGAATAACATGTATTCATGTAATCAACAGCAAAAATGTAACCGTAGTCTTATTGCAAGCTTTTTAAAATGTAATATAATCTAATTACCGGTACAAGTATTTAAATTTTCTTGAAACTGAGTACGTAATTCAGATTACATGTAATCAGTTGCTACCCAGCACACATTTCCTCTCATTTTTTTCCAGTTGTGTTTTTCTTTTCAGTTCCTTTTCTATTTTTATCTCCATCCTCCCATCCCCATAGCCACTTTTTCAGCATGGTGGGTTTATTCATGTTTCAGTAGCCTTAAGGGAGGCACAGATGAGGAAAAAGGGAGCAGATCTCTCAGAATGTTTGCGTCAGATTGACGTCACTTCTGCGTCATAGCCTGCCACCCTATTTGGGAGTCCCAAAAGCCAGTAAAGAACTTCTGGGTAATCTTTTCCAGGTTTTACTGGTGGAGTGTGCGCTAAAATGCTTTGACCCTAAAGCTGTTGTTCTGTATGACCTAATCAACAGCAGACACTAAAGTCGGGTGACTACTATGTTTCACCGGTGCTTGTTGAAAAGTCCCCCATACGGTTATGTATTACAGTATATGGCCTCAAATCTACACTAATGTAATCAGGATCAAACTAGTAACAGATCCTGTAAACAGATTCATAAGATTCAGACCAATTTAGGAGAAAATTTCTAATAAATGAAAAAGGCTATCTTCAGAGTTGACCAGTTGGAATGGGTGTCAACCTCTTGATGGATTACTTTGATATACTTTAACACTTTACTTTATTATTCATTCAATTATAATTTATAATTCCATTATAAACTAAAAAAAAAAACATTATAAATTAATCCTCATGGCCTATTTAAATCTTTCCTGGAACTGGGATCTCAAATCATTTAAACTCAACTGAATAAAGCTTTAGTTTAAAAGAACAGGCTCCTCTTCAGGTCAGCTAAGACCATAGTAATACGTGTTAATAATATCTGTAATATAATAAAAATGTGGCCTTTTCCTACATTTTTCTCTGTCTTTCTATTGCATGGTTGGCTTTCAGGATGATCATGGCTACATCTCCCGTGAGTTCCACCGTCGCTACCGTCTGCCTCCCAACGTGGACCAGTCTGCCATCAACTGCTCACTGACTGCTGATGGCCTGCTCACTCTTTATGGACCCAAGACTGGTGGCATAGATGCTGGCCGCGGAGACCGCACCATCCCTGTTACCCGCGAGGACAAGAACTCAGGCTCCTCCTCCTAGACGGGCAGCACCCCACAGCCAGGTGGTGGTTTGGAGGTGTGAGTGGGGCTCCCAGGGGGGGCTAGGCTTTAATTGCAGAGGGCATCTAAAGGTGGATTTAAGCAAATCCTTTATTTGTCTATCATTAAACAAGCCCTTCCTCCCACTTCCACCTCAAAGGGTGTCAGTGTATATCTGGCCTAATACCTTCTTTCATTAGACTATACTAGCTAAAAATCTCCATAATCCACTATGATTGTTTTCATTTTTTCATTACATGCTACTCACACAGGTAATGGATCAGGATGATTGGCTGGGGGTCTTAAAGATTGAAGTGAAAGATTGTAAGGTTTCTTTACTCAACCCTCTACCCTTCTCTCTAGTCAGATGTTAAGTGGCAAGCAGTCATTGTCATCCTGGGTGATATATTATATATTATTAGGGTAATTATGATTTAAAAGCATAATCATTTACTATAGGATCAATTGGAGAACTAAATGAAAGGGAGGTGGAGAGCTTGTTTTAAAATTGCTCTGTTTGAAGATTTCTGATCTGAGAGAGATTCCATCACTGGCACCAGTCAGACCTCTGCTTCCTCTCTTACCTGTGTCAAGACCTCTTTTCTAGACCTCTCTTGTCATTGACTCTTTCCTGTCTTGTAGGTTTTAGCCCTGTTCTACTGATTACAGACTCCTCAGGAGTCTACTAAAAAAATATTTAAAAAATAAAGTTGTACCATTAACCATTAGACACACCATGTTTGTCTTTTTTAAAGCTATGTAATACAATACAAGTCACACCATACATCATAATTAAATGACTAGATGATTTATATTATTTTGGAGAAGTTGAATGATGCTTTTTTCAATAACTACAAAAAAGACATATCCAGATTCTTAATGAACTGGTATCTGAAAACGATCCAAAATGTTTTCTAAATCTTTCTTAAACCCGTTGCCATCTGATCTTTGTCATAAGAGCTACTGATTGATTTTCTTTACACAGTCTCATCCCAAGACGTCATATGACTGACGCTTTTGACCATACGTCAACATCCGACGTTTTAGGGTACCCTTTAACGTCAGTTAGATGACGATCCTAGGGCGTCATATGTCTGACGCTTTACCTTTAGCGTCAGTTAGATGACGCGGGTAGGTTTAGGTCTGGGGTAGGGTTAGGATTTCATAGCGTCATATACTGACGTTAAAGGGTACCCTAAAACGTCGGATGTTGACGTATGGTCAAAAGCTTGAGGCTATTGGCATTTCCCTTCAATTGGGGCTACAATAAGTATGTTTTTAGTGTAAAACTGTTTTGCCAGACTTGAAGGAAAGTGTGGGATTTTAAAAATTACTTTTTAAAAGAAGTGATAAAAACATTTGAAATTTATTTGGTTTAAAAAAAAAATGAAGATATTACAGATGTATGTATTAATAAACTAATAGCCCAGTGCATTAATTACTATTCCACTATTAAAACCAGCAATGCCCCCTAAATTACTGCATAATAAAGGTTAAGCTCTAATTAAACCAATCACAGTATGAACCACAACTACAGTAGTCTTCAATTATTAATAATTTTTGGTACCAAATAAATTATAAAGCAACAACAAGATCTTAGTAAACTGTATAATGATGTATAATAATAATATTCACACCACTTTCTGGACATTAAAACTATTCGCCTCTGTACAAACACATCAATTATTTATTAGTAGTTAGTAATTTATTTATTAATCAGGTAAATTCGCTCACTCTTAAACTCTCAATTGTGACAAATACTAAACTATATATTTTATTTATAAAGTTCCTGGATAAAATCAGGGTCACTTCACTGAGGGTGATACAATGCCAATGTAAATCCCAGCCTGAGGCAGAGACTGAGATTGTGGAGTAATCTGCAGTCGAGTCTCAAGAAGCTTTGCGGCTGGTTCCACAATGGAGGAAGAAGAGGAGAGAGAAAATTGAGAGTGGCGAGGAGCTGACTGCGGTGGGAGCAAGCAGGCGGAGAGACTGATGGGTTTCCTCTGATACTGTGGGGGAAGAGGTGGCGTGAAAAAGCGCTGTGAATCTAGGCCTGTGGTTTTTTTCAATGGAACATAAGAAGTAGAGGCCACTGGGAGAAGCTGCTGCTGGCTCTGATAGCATTGAAAAGGAACCATCCTAAAATACAAAAATAAAGAGGCTATAAGTATTTGATTTCAGCTGTTTGAAATTTACTAATAAATTTGTAATGCCTTCTATGAGGTAATGACTGAAGTACCGTTGTGAAAAAGAAATACACCTACTGAAAGAGAAGTTACTTATTACAGAAGTAATGGACTTTAAAAGAAAACTTAAGTGCAAACTGAATGTAATGTTTTTGGACACTTCATTTCATATTCCCAATTAAATTAAAATATATAATAGTTTACATTTGTATTAAATGCACTTAAGGGTGCTTTTTTGACTCACTTAAGAAAGACTTAAGTACATCTTTACAGTTTATCTTTTCATAATTACTTCTATCGTCTTTGAAATGTAAGTGTACTGCTGAATGTACTGACAAGTATTTATGGTAAACTAAAATATAATTAAAATTTCTACTGAAACTTGTGTCATGCATTTGAAAATGTTTGTAATTACACTTTGCTAATGATACAGTTGCAATTTAGTACAATTCAAATATATTAACCTCAAATGTAATATTGAATAACTACAGTTAAAATTAGAATCAATTATTTTACAGGTGATTTAATATGTTAGTCAACACATCATAAGTGTAATTCTTTAAAGCATGACAAAAGATTTTTAAAACAATGATTTAAAATGTACTTTAAAGTAAAACTTTTAATTTGGCATTAGTAAAAAGTAAAAAATGCACATACGTGCACATCCAATACAATTAAGCCCTTTGGTCTTTTTTTAACAAGGGTAAATCATTAACCACTGAATTATTTTCACCTTTTATTTTTTGAAACATTCTCCTGGACACCACTGTGGAGCGCCACTGGAGAGCATGGAGGGCTTGTTAAAACTGCAGATGTACTACCGCTTTGGGGACTGTCATCTAGGATCCACGCGTGTTGCACAGGCGCCTTCGGTTTATTCCAACTCAGCTGGCCCTTAATACAGGCATTCTTTCTCAAATAAATTGGGAACGCCTTCACACCTAACAAAAAAAAGAGGAAATATTGTTTAATTCATATTGTTTACTGTAACAAGGATATAGTTTTCTCTGTGCACAGTGTACTGTTTCCCTGACCTTGTATAAGAGAGGAATCTGAGGATCTCCTTCCCTCCGGAAAGCTGGGTAAGGGCAGACAACTCTGGTGCCCAAGGATGGATGAGTGAGTGCCGGAATTCCCTAGTAATATCTGTGAACACGGACGTAATCCCTGAGTCATGCGGCCATTGGTGTCAGTGCCCATCTCTAATGGGGTGCAGAGGGTGGTGAAAGAAGAACTAGTAGAAGCAGAGGGAGTGGACCTGAGGCAGGAGTTTGAGGTGGCACCATCTACACGATCTATGACTATACCTGAAGCAAGGGACAGGGAACACTAATAAACTAGAGTCAGACACACTCTGCAACACTTTAATATCAATGTGTCACAGTACTTTTAGTCAGTATAAATTGACTAATCATAATGAATGAAATATCTAGAGATTCCTTCAAACTTACTTGGTAAGCAGGAAAAGTTCTGGGAGGCACTGGCATTTGAGGGCGTGTGTCTCTGTGATTTTCTGAACCCCACAGAAGGATTGATCGTGGACTGATCGTCCTCCTCCCTATTTTTTAGATCCCCAGGCTGTGACTTTTGATATCCTGTAGTCTCCAGCTGGCAGGTAGCAGAAGCAGAGCATGTGTACTCTAGTGTGCTAAGATCGTCCTCCAAAGGCAGCATTGTTGCTGAAGGGTTGAGACCCGGCACTTTCAGCCACCCAGTTCCCAGTTTGTTTTGTTGCAGTGCTTGACGCTTCATCACTCTTTCTAACAGCAGGCAGTAGATAGCAGAAAAGTGGTTGAAGCTACTGTTCTGAAGAGACTGAATACAGAGGCATGTTCTTTAGTCAATAAAGTGATGCACGGTAAGTACATGCGTATACATGTTATAATCAAGCTACTGTATAGTGTTGAGCTACTAGTCTTCATCTGTCTGTCCCAGTACACGTGATGCAATCAATGTGTAACCCAATATTTGTTGGATTAAATACTTGTATCATGTCACATCTGTCTTCAGAGCAAACGCACAATGCCAAGATCAATAGTTTAGTCAAATTAATGTATATGCATGCAGGACAAAGCCAAGCTTAAACCAAGGTCTATGAGTCTGACTTCACAAAAATCAGACTGGTACTAAAAGCATTACATGATACAGGTATACATTCCTTTTTAATTGATTATTAAATTGTTTAATTAAGGTTTATACATGCTAGTTTCCATGACAGAGTTCAAGATAAATATTTGCAATACTACTAGAGCTGCCAGTTTGCGTAGTTTCAAAAGATTATTAAACAGAAAGCACAAATTATGCAAAAGCTGCAGCCCTTCCGGCGCACTCAGTGTCCGGAATTTGCTCCCTTGTTGTCATTCACTCCTTCATGGGGACTATATGTGGAGTAATGTAGGGAATAGTGAATTGAGGGTATAGGGGGCGAGGAGGGGGGCGTGCCAAGATGGCCGAGTGAGTAGACGCTTTCTACCGAGCTCTGCAAACTAAAGTTTTGGAAACAGTAAAACTCAATTTATTATCTCGCCAAGCACAAAATTTTGTTTTCATAAATACTACAGCACTCGTAAGACGAACGATTGAGCAATGTCGAACCAACGAGAAAGGAAAAGAGGCCAAGAGAGCGCCGGACAGAAACCAAAGCCAGATGCTAGTAATATTACTCTTAAGGCTGGCAATGCTCTAGTTGACAGTTGTCACGATTATACCTCCACTTCTCTGCCTCTCTCCACTACGGAAGACTTCATGGATGATTTTCCACTACTACCTGTCACTCCCAGTAAGTCGCCAGCACCGAAGAAAATGATGCACGCAATCGTGTCAGAGCAAACCAACACCAGCGATATCATAGCTAGCCTCTCAGCTCTGATAAACACGCGGTCAGACAACATTGAAAGCATGGTCAGTGCCAATGCACTTAAAATTGAAGGTCTTAAAAAGACAATTGACTTTGTGTGTGCAGAGATTAAGGAGGTAAAGAGCAAAGTGCGTACACTCGAGGTGAAAATGGCAAAAGAAGAAAAACGAGTAGACACGTGTCAGCAAAGGGTCTCGGAGTTAGAAAGATACTCCAGGAGATGGAACCTTCGACTTTATGGAGTTGAAGAATCGGAAAAGGAAAACGTACGAAAGAAGGCCATCGAGGTCTGTCAGGCTGTTCTGCCGGAGGAGAAGAACAGGCTGGCTGACACTATCGATACCGTACATCGCCTCGGTACGAGGCGGCAGGATGACGGCAGACCCAGATCCATCATCATCCAGTTCATCGCACGTGTCTGCAGAGACGCCGTATGGAAAGCTGCCAAAACGTCACCGCACCTGCGCGACAACGGGTTAAGATTTGCGGAGGATCTCTCTAAGGAAGACAGAGAACGACGAAGCAAATTATGGCCAGTGATAAAAAAAGCTCGAGAGGAGGGCAAACCTGCATTCTTCATTGGTGGTCGCGGTTTTATCAACGGATCAGAAGTCTCACTGCCCACCTAAGCAACAGACTAGCCTGCTGCATGTTAATACAAGAACACTTACTGGTTTGATTTGCACTACATTCAGAGTTATTGTAAGGTTATAGTTTTTTGTTGTACTGCACTTTGAAAAGGTACTTTATTTTTCAAATTCGCTGCCTTTTCTACTATATGTTCTGTTTTTAAGGCCATTTAATAACCGAGGGCAGGCAGCTGAACGCTGTGTTTTTTTGTTGTTGTTTTTTTTTAAGCTGGCCGGAACTATTTACTTTATTCTTTACCGTTATATTTCTAATATAAAGCAGCGCTCGGTCCCCTTATTCGGTAATACACCTCTAACTATTTGGTTATTGTTTACTTTCTAGTTTATTCCTCGTTCACGTACTTTAATAACTTTGTCTTTATCTATTGTTTCTTTAAATGCCAGGGGACTAAGACAGATCTGTAAAAGGAAAGCTTTATTTCTATTTGCAAAACAACTTCGTACGGGTTTTTGTTTTTTTCAAGAAAGTCATTCCACATCTGCTGATGTCAATTTTTGGAAATCTCAATGGGGTAATGATACTTGGTTCTCTCATGGCTCAGAGAGATCTGCTGGAGTAACCACGCTTAAAAATGCGTTTACTGGTGATGTCCTACACTCAGACTGTGACTCCCTAGGACACTATGTATGTCTGATAATTAGAGTTGACAACATTTCTATCATAGTTATTAATCTTTACGGCTATAATAACAAACTTGAGAATGATAAATTACTTGATTCATTAGAGGAAAGAATTACATTTTGGCTCACAAGATATCCAAATTCTCTTCTTTTAGTTGGTGGAGACTTTAATATTGCTCTAGATGATGCTATTGACAGGTGGCCCCCTGGGCGGCCCTCCTCCCTCAGTACAAACCTTAAAAGACTCATGGGTAGATTTAACATTGTGGATGTATGGAGAGAAAAATTTCCTGATGAAAGATCTTTCACTTGGAGCAACAGGTCAGGCTCCAGCCAGTCTCGCATTGATTTTTGGCTATTGTCCAATAGCATTGATAAAGAGAAAATAACAGTAAATATCCATGCCACACCACTCACTGACCATAGAGCAATTCATATAAGCATTCAATTTAGTGCATCTAATACTTTCCATAGATCTTGCTACTGGAAATTAAACAATTCCGTGTTAAGGCATGAAAAGGTGAAGAAGGAAATTATTAAGTTAATTAATCTTTTTTACAACAAGGCTAAAAAGGAAAAATCCTACAACACTAACTGGGAATTATTTAAGTTTGAGTCAGGGAAATTATTCAGACAGTATGGAGCCTCTATTGCCAAAGCTAAAAGAGCAGAAGAAGATGAAGTCATTACTAAAATTTCTTCATTCTATCAGAGACCCCCAGAGGAAGTTTCAGAGGAGGATAAACTACTTCTTTTACAACTCCAAAACAAATTAGACGAGTTATATCGACAAAAAAAAGAGGGAGCCTTTGTAAGGTCTAGAAAGAGATGGCTGGAGGAGGGGGAGCAAAATTCTGCTTACTTTTTTCGTCTTGAAAGATACCGATCTAAAATCAATACCATTTATAATTTAAATGTTAATGGGGTCGTTACTGATGACGCTAGATTAATTTCAAATTTTTGTTCAGAATTTTATAGCAATTTATACAGCTCAAATTATAATAAAGAAGTTACTTCTCATTTTCTTAACTCCGTAAATAACGTCAGAAAGATTGATTCGGCAGACAAAGATTATTGTGACTCCCCTCTTACATTGGCAGAGGTCTCTGATTCGATTGCTCTACTCAAAAACAATAAATCCCCCGGCACGGACGGTTTAACCGCTGAATTTTACAAAGCGTTCTCAGATCTCTTAGCCCCATTTTTACTACAGGTATTTATGGAAAGTATAGAGAATGATACCCTTCCTCCTAGCCTCACTCAAGGGCTGGTTACATTGATTCCCAAGCCTAGAAAAGATGTGCTTTTTATCGACAGCTGGAGACCCATTTGTCTGCTAAACAATGATTACAAAATTATGGCGTCGTTGTTTGCGAGTAGAATTAAAGAAACTCTTGACACAATTATAGATGAATCACAATCAGGCTTTTTGAGAAACAGGCACATCTCTAACAATATTAGGCTAGTATTAGATGTTCTTGACTACTCTGACTTGATATCTGAAGATGGCTTCATCCTCTTCTTAGATTTCTATAAGGCTTTTGATACGATAGAACACCAATTTATTTTTCTGTCTTTAGAGAAATTTGGTTTTGGGGACTTTTTCTGCAAAGCAATTAAAACCTTATATGTTAATGGAAATAGCTCCATCATACTGAAAAATGGAACTTCCCCTAGATTTTATCTGGAAAGGGGCATTCGTCAGGGATGCCCGATTTCCCCTTATCTCTTTTTACTTTGTACACAAATTCTCACAACTCATGTCGGTAACAGTGCTATACAGGGAATTTCTATTGCGGGTAGGGATATCATCATCAGTCAGCTTGCTGACGATACCACAATCTTTTTAAAAAATGCAAGTCAGGTACCTGTCGCCATTCAAGTAATTAATCAGTTTTCAGAGGCCTCTGGTCTATGCCTAAATATTAATAAATGTGAGCTATTGCCTTTAAAAGAGTGTAATACACAAACTATTTGCAACATTCCGATCAAGGAAGAAGTTACGTATTTGGGTATTATTATCTCTAAAGATCAGAAAGTTAGATGCCCACTAAATTTCTCGCCAATTGTTAAAAAAACTCAGAGCAAACTGAACCAGTGGTTGCAAAGGGATTTATCTCTAAAAGGCAGAGTGTTGCTTACCAAGGCTGAAGGTATATCCCGGCTCACATACGCAGCTCTCTCTTTACACCTGGACAGTAAAATTTGTAAAGACATTGATAGAATGCTTTTTGACTTCATCTGGAAAAATCGTACCCATTATATAAAAAAAAAGTGTTGTTATGAATAATTATGAATCTGGTGGGCTCAACTTTTTGGATTTTAATACTCTAAATAATACTTTTAAGATTAATTGGGCTAAGAATTTTCTTAAAAACCCTGTCTCGATTTGGAATTTTATTCCCCACTATATATTCTCTCGATTTGGGGGTCTGGCCTTTATTTTGAACTGTAACTACAATGTGGACAAACTCCCTGTAAAACTGTCCACTTTTCACAAGCAGGTCTTTTTAGCTTGGTCTCTCATTTATAAGCATAATTTCTCACCTCACAGGTATTTAATTTGGAATAACAGAGATATTTTATATAAGAACAAGTCACTCTTTTTTGAAAATTGGGTAGTCAATCAGATTCTGCTGGTGGACCAGCTATTTAATGGAGAGGGGCGACTTTTCTCCTATAGTGAATTTTTATCAACATATAACATCCCAGTTACGCCAAGAGAATTTGCAATTGTATTTGACGCCATTCCATCAGGCGTAATCATGCTTTTTAGGTGTACTAGCAGACTTCCGCTTACTTCTGTCTCCCTCCCTGATGTGGCTGAATCACCAGTTGGAAAAGTCTGTTTTTCCCAAATACCTCAAAATAATAAGAATGTTCGAGCACTATTTCAGAAAGAAATTGTATCTATTCCAAATGTTACATTTTATTGGAACCGATTTGTAAATGGCATTGACTGGAAAAAGGTTTGGATGATTCCTCACAGATACTTGATAGTAAATAAGGTGAAAGAAGTGTCTTTCAGAATAATTCACAAATATTACCCTGCTAATCATTACATGGTTAAATTTAAAAGAGACATCAATACAAAATGTTCTTTTTGTGAAGATCACCCAGAAACTGTTTTGCATCTCTTTTGGTATTGCTCACACACCAGAACATTTTGGCAAAATTTCAGCAGATTCATAATTGACCATATTTATAAAGACTTTGCCTTATTATGGAAGAATGTTGTGTTTTGCTTTTATGAAAGTCAAACTAGAGATAAGAGGTACTTCATTATAAATTTATTAATTCTTTTGGCAAAATTTCACATTCATAAGTCCAAATTTAGCGCTAAAACCCCTAATTTTGTACTGTTTCTCCACGAAGTTGCACATTATATTAATCTGATTTCTGGTTCCAACAACAAAAAGGCAATTAAAACTGTCAACATATGGTCTTCTTTCTCTTTGTAATGGTCCGTAAGCTTCCCCTGGCAAAATTGTATTGTATTCTTTTTATGTGTTGTATTTTTGTATATTGTTATGTATATGTTGATTACTTAGTTGTGATTTGTACCCTTTTCTGAAATTGAAGTTAATAAAAAAAAAAAAAAAAAAAAGTATAGGGGGCGATTTCAAACACACCTGATAGCTCTCCAGGAGAAGGGTTGGAGATTTAGACTTGAAGGAATGGTTAAATCTGTCATAATCTAATGACCCTCATGTCATTTCAAACATGTATAACTTTTTTCTGTGGAACATAAAAATCATTTTTTGAGAAAGGTCTCAGTGTGTTTTTTCACCATATAATAGAAGTCAATAGTACTTCCATTTGGTTACCAGCATTCCTCAAAATATCTTCTTTTTTGTTTCGCAGAACGACATGAGGGTGAGTAAATATTTTTTTTTTTAAAGGTGAACTAAGGTGTCTTTTTCCCACACAGACCTTGATCTCTGGGCTCCTCACCTCTATAGTTCTCTTCCTGTCAATGCCCACTGTCTGCATAATACTCAGAACTGCTTCATTGTAAGTCCCTTGTTGGAGATGAGTCTCAAGACAGGAAAAGTGTAAAGGGGAATGGCATATAGCAGAGGGATCAGCCTGCATCCAACGATGCTGTTTGATTTGTGCCAAACTGAATCTCTTGGTAGGTTCAACAGCCAACATCCTCCGTATAAGGCTTTCACAGTCTGTGGAAAGATGGAAACAGCAAGGATGAAAGAAGGACTAAAGACACCAGATATCAGCACACCACTCCATGAGAAAAGAGTCCAACTAAAATATTGAAAATTAATGCACAGTTAAGACGACCATGAGAATGGTGCTGGAACTATATATGTAAATGTTGTATGCCCCTCTAATATACAGTATAGGAGGAACCTTCTATATTGAGGCATACCCTGTGACATGAAGAAGGGCACTCTGAAGCGTCCGTCAGTGACTCTTCTTCTTAAGGCAAGGAGAGTGGTGCCATCAAAAGGTAGTGTGCCACAAACCAATACATACAACAATACTCCCAGACTCTAAGAAGCAGTCAGAGACACATTTTAGATGTTTCCTTAATGTCAAAGAGGACATTCTGGAAAAATTTCAGAGGGTCAGAACAGTTATACAAAAGCTAAAAAGCTGTTATACAACAGTTATACAAAAGCTGAAAAGCTGTTATACAACAGTTACACAAAAGCTGATATCTTACCCAGATATCCAAGGGTGGTCCCTCATATTCCTTCCCCTCAAAGACTTCTGGGGCGGCATAGGGAGGACTCCCACACCAGGTGGACAACGATTTACCATGCTGATAGAAGTTTCCAAAACCAAAGTCTGAAGAAATACAAAGAGATACTGTACATTAGCCATTAGATGTCTCTAAATTAGGTACTTTTAATAACAATAAGGTCTCTTACAACACTTTTCACACTTTCATTAGTGCAGAGCTTCTCAATCCTGCTCTGCATATATTGTGTCCTGTATGTTCACTACTCCCTACTACTTCACTTCACTTCACTTGGGAATGTTATGCTGCGTTCCAGGCAGGTTTTTGAGCACGTAAATCACGACTTCAAACTACGACTCACGACTTTGTCGCGTTCCAAGCCAGTCACGCCAAACTACCTGAGCGCAAGGAATTGTGGTAGCTAGATGTAAACAAACCATTGCTGTTTTGTATGGTTTCGCGGGCTATGTGACGTCAGAGCTCGTAACTGGGAGTACATCAATCTAGTTCGAGTTCACGGGTGGGAAGTCACGGGTTTGACTGCAGTTCCAGTGCACTTTCACGGGTATAAGGTTGGAAAAACACGGGTTACAGGTTGCCTGGAACACGACATTAGTTTGCGGATTTGCGCTACGCCACTGCCTGCAACGTCATCACACACAGACTTGAATAGCGCTTATTAGAGAAGTTTGAGTTACGATATAATATACTTCTGTAAATAAATGCAATAAACATTACCATACTTTCATTCAGTATGTGTAGCCTATATAATAAATCCAAGTACATTTATATAAATATTAATTTGTTATTATTAATTTAATTAGTCATAATTACAAGTGCTAAAATGTGTGATAAATGTCTGTTATTTTTAATGTGAAAATAAATGTAATTTAGATTTTTTTTATCTTATGTAATCGTATTTGCACAAGTAACTGTCATGTCTCAAGCACATTATATCCATGAACAACCACGCACAAACCACACATGGGGCTAATTATGGGGCGAATTAAACCCAATTAAAATCCTTATTTTATTCTAACTTCTTCAAGTGCTGGAGTGATACACAATGACGTGTAAATTTCCCACTCCATTTCTCGTGAAGTGATGTATTGATGTTCCCTCGTTCCCAATGGCGTTAGCAGTGCTCTTTGAACTGAACATGTACCTTTCGGATTGAAATCTCACATGTTGGCATACCTTGTAAAGTTCAATTTGCAGGGCACTTACAGTCGAACTAAACAAACCTCTGAACTGATAAGAGATACATACAAAATGTGCAGAGCTGGTGGTTGGTAGTTTGGGTTTGGGGTGGCGCAAGGAACGGGAAGAACTACTGCATTTGGAAATGGATATAAATATGGCAATGGTCAATGGATTAATTTGCTTTTTGTTTGATTGTCATACTTTTTTCCATGCAATCATATTTTCACAACCTTACAGAGGACAAGTGGTTTGGAAAATGGATGGATGGATGAAAATAGAGGTAGGCTACATGATCTTTCTTACCTGCCAGTTTTATATTCATGTTACTGTCCAGGAGTAAATTTTCTGCTTTCAGGTCTCTGTGTACAATGTGATGCGTGTGACAATATTCTACAGCATCAAGGAGTTGCCAGAACTTCCTACGAGCTTCTGCTTCACTTAGATGACCAACTGAGGTAAGATAATCTTTAAAAAAGAAAGATAATAACAGTATTAGTTACCAGCATGAGAGGCAATGACATAAAAGCCACAAAAAAAAAAAAGAAAAAAAGAAAAGAAAATACAGATTTGTAGGTAATTAAACAATTCTCTTTAGGCTCACCAAACACCTCTCCATTTTTGGCATACTCTGTCACAATATACAGCATGGCTTTGGTCTCCATAACCTACATGATACAAACAAATTCTTCATACTAGTGACAAGCAGAACAAAAAAGTTCATTCATTGCATTTTTTAAATAGATCTTTAGAAATAAAGTGATGAATCAAAATAAAAGTTACATCTTATTGGAATCATGGAACAATAGGTAGTGCACATGCATGACACTCTGGTTCTCAGGGGAACACAAATTGGAATCCTGCTTGATTAAAAAGGCTAAATGCCCAAACAAGTGATATCTCAAAATCAAAATACTTGTGAGGTTTGTGTCTAATTCAATTTCAACTCAGTTTTCTTTTTCTTTTTCAACTCAGTTTGAACTGAGTTGAACTGACCCCCCCCCCCCCCCCCCCCAACTTTGGACTTGGAACACCAACATTAAATAATTATTGAGAAAGCAGTTGTATCATGACCTTTCCATTGTAAGGTCATTATTTTCCCCCTTCCACATACTCCTGAGAGAGCAGTAAAGATAGGAAGTAGCAGCCATGGGAAAGTCGTGGTGCATTAGAATAAACTCGCTGTAAACTGGCTTTCAGCCAGCTTATTTATTTATTTAACAGGGGCCATACAGTCAAACATAGTTACAATACAAAGCCTGTAAGTGTAACTGATGCGCAGCATATAGAGTTTGTAGCTAATGCTAATTTTCAACTCCTGTCCCTGGTTGGGCATTTCTAAGTAGCCTACATTATAAATAGATACATACAAATAGAAAATATTCACATTTCTTCAAACACACACACACACACACACACACACACACACACACACACACACACACACACACACACACACACACACACACACACACACACAACCAGAAAAATAACACTAGTTAAAAATGGTTACAGTTTTGGTTTGCCTTTACCCACAACTTAATCCTGGAAGTGAACTTTTTCAAGTCAGATATGACCTTAATGTCAGATGGTAACGAATTCCAGAGTCTAGAGCTCTTAACAGAAAAGGCTGTCTGTGCGAAGCTTGTCCTACAGTATGGTATTGTACAGTTATGATTTGTGCTGCTTCTGGTAACTCTAAACTAGTTTAACAGTTTAAAACAGTTAAACTAATGAAGTGAAAAATCTAAGCTTATAGTTGGTAGATATCAAGGGTTGAGATTTAGGAGGACAATATAAGAAATATTAAACTCTAATTTCAAGTGAACATGGATCAAGGGTATTACTATTATTGAAGGTCTATTAACACTTGATGTGCCTAATAAATGGATACATAGGCAAATATGGGTATCAATCAACCATAATGATTGCACAACACACGCACACGCACACACACACACACACACCTGGTAAAGCTTGATTATGTATGGGTGCTTCAAAAGCTTCATGATTTGAACTTCCCGGTTAATCTTCTCTAAATCAGATTCATCCAGTCGAGTTTTATCAATGATTTTTATGGCAACCTGTTAAAGTACAACCAGAGAATATGTTTATTTAGTGAAGGAGGTGCAGGTAAACGTGTGATAAAAAAAAAATTAGAAATAAAAAATAATTTATTTAACATGATCTAATTATATAGCAATAATTCCCCTTATATTTCGCCTAATTTACGCTAATATAATTGTACATGGCAGGTGAAACGCAAACGACTTTAAGTAATAACAAAAACCACAACATACCTCTGTTTTGGTGACTTCGTGTCTAGCTAGTTTTACCACAGCAAAGTTTCCTTTGCCTAATGTCTTGATGATCTCGTAGAAACCAACTTGCAGCGGTCTCCCGGACTGCCTCGCTGCCTTTTCCTCCGACAAAATCACCATTGTGAAAAAGGAGGACTGAATCAAGATCAGTGATCAAGAACAGTGATTAAGATCAGGTAAACTGTATAGGCTACACGCATTACGGCTACTGAAATAAAAAGTGTTTATAACCTACATTAACATGTGCGTCATTCACACAACCTAAACGGACAAATATACTTTTAAAATGTGCATTTCATGCGTAGATAAAAAATAAAATAAAATAAAAAATAAAAAAATGAATCAAAATAATAATTAATTGTGATTTTCATCACAGCCAGAAAGAAAAACGTGATTCTTTTAGCTCGAATTAATTATCTAGGCTACCTCCGGGGCGCCTAATCAATTTTTAAGTGATCTCTCCATGTGCTAAAAAAATCAATAAAGCCAGTAAACCTTTTTATTAAATCATCAATCCAATGATTTACTTGTTTATCTCACGAGCAGTCAGTTAGAGTAGTCGTCTCGCGCTGGGCTGTCATCTCTCCAAAAACCGGTACACGTTTCAGACATGCATATTCCCCCAGAGTTCGGGCGATGAAGTCGGTAAGAACGGTTCAGCCTCCGCCTCATGCAAACATACCATTGCAAACTCATTCTTACTTTATTAACGTCACTTTTGCGTCAGAGATCTGATACAAAATGTCATGTTGCCCAGCAACTTAACACAGCACGTACACTGGATTGCAAAAGTTGCCAGACAGTTACTTCGATTACGGGGTGTAACACTATAATAATTGGACAGATAATTAGCCTCCTCCCTAATCTGCCCTAGAGTTTCAGATACGCCCTTACAAAAAAAAAAAAAAAAAAGTTTATTCAAGTGCGTCATTCATCCTAAAACTAAAAATAAGAGAGTATACTTTCAGTATACTTAAAGTGCAAAAATAGTATATAAATAGTACAGTGATGTTAAGTTCACCTAAAGAAAATAGTATATAAATAGTACAGTAATGTTAAGTTCACCTAAAGAAAACTTACAAGCCTATACTTGCAGTTTAGTTTACTGAGAGTATACTTCAGTGTACTTTCATAAACTAAAAAAATGTGCTTCAAGTATTTAACTAAACTATAGTACAGTAAGTATAGTTATATACAAGTTCACTTGTATGGTTGCTGCACAAACGAAAAACATAGTGGTAAACTAGTTGTGTACTCAACTTACTGTTAGTGTTAAAAAAAAACGCTACAAGTATTTAACTAGTAAACTATAGTACAGTAAATATAGGCCTTGTTGTAAGTTCACTTGTAGTATAGTTGCTGTACAAATGAAAACAGTTGTAAACTAGTTGTGTACTCAAAGTTTACTACTGTTACACTTAAAGTATACTTACAAGTCATTCATTAAACGTGGGCCAATTAAGTCCCAAGTAAGTAGTATTGAAATAGTACACTTACAAGTATACTGCACATTGATATTAGTACTACATAAGGTATACTTAAAAATATATTTAGACTTTACTTAAGTATACTTAATAAAAACTTGAAGTATACTTTTTTGTTGTTGTAAGGGCAGCTCTACAACTTGCATTATATAGTGCTCCATAAAATTACCATGAGCACATGCCCAACAAAATGATCATTTTGATCATCTTATTAATATTGACAATTCTGTAAATGCATAAACAATACCATACTAACACAGAAAACAAAGTTCCTTGCTATCTTAACGCACTACATATCAGGGTTAGTTGCATTTCATTACTTGCATTTAGCATGGTTTTTCCCTGCTGTCATTTCTGACCCACTGCACAATACAGCCAAGCATGCATTATAGGGAAGCTTCACACACCCTTATACAGGCATTCACTTGCAGCATGACCACATGAGAACACACATCACCTGAGGTTAATTTAGAATATGGGAGATACTACACTTAACAAAATTATAAACACAACACTTTTGTTTTTGCCCCCATTTTTCATGAGCTGAACTCAAAGATCTAAGACTTTTTCTATGTACTCAAAAGGCCTATTTCTCTCAAATATTGTTCACAAATCTGTCTAAATCTGTGTTAGTGAGCACTTCTCCTTTACCGATTATTATTGATGATTATTGCACAGGTGTGCCTTAGGCTGGCCACAATAAAAGGCCACTTTAAAATGTGCAGTTTAATTGTATTGGGTTTTATTTATAAAAAAAATTTTTAAAGTAAGTTTTTTTTCTTCTACAGAGAATCAGATCGATTGTTTCTAGATATCCCAATTTACTCGCTAGCATTAATAAAGTATATAAAACAAGTATATAAAACAACAAACAGTTTAGAGAAGTATTCCCTATCTTTAATAAAAATGCCTGGTGAAATGTATCGATAAACTAAGTAGGTCACCGAAATCAGGCTGGTAACGCCGCACGGACCATTTATCAGCTCGGACCAGTGCATAGCGCAGCTCTAGCTCACACCTCAATCACACGACAGCGCTGTGATATTCAGTGAGAAGCGTTTGAATTTGCTGAATTCTCTCCTATAGACCTTATGTAGCCCATCCCCATTTCAGCACCGCTCATTGTGTTCTGTCTTCCGGTTTGTATTTCCACAGCATGAAGGTAAGATTTACGGATTTATGAATGAACCGCTCATTTTAATATCTTCCTGGTCTACTGCCATTTTTTATGACATCTGCTTCAAACATTGCACCAACAATGCGCCCGAACACACCTCGTTTTCAGACCAGCACGCCCATGGGCACATAGATGGGCGCAAATGCATTTGCTATTTAAACAACGTGGCGCAGGACGTGAAAAAGATAACTGCGTCGGGCTGAAATTAGCAAAAAACGCTTGCGTCGTGCCTGGCGCCGCATCGCGCCAGGTGTATGATAGGGCCCTTAGAGATGACTCTGGGGGTGATGAGGAAACCGAGGATTGGGATGATTTAGCAGAGGAAGATATAACATTGAGAGTGGAATGCTTCCTTGCAAAGCTTAAAGTAAAAACAGGTCGTTTTTTGCTCTCGGGCTCCCCCTACAGTTGGGAAACAGTATTGTCCTCTACTACTGTCGTAAACTGTCATCCTACATGCACATGCATTTGTTGACAACCATGATAGCCCTGAACACTGTAGGAGGAGGTCACATGCAGGTGTTCTCGCGTGTGTGAAATGTCTTCATCCCAGGTACAGTGGCATATATTTCAGCATGTCATATGAATATAATTTCATGTGTTTTATTTTTTTTATAACGACAAATGATCGCGTTTACAAGCCAGCGTCATTATAGTAGCCTAGTCTATTGGTTACCGTTTTACTGAATCTGTATGATACTTCAATGCAATGTTTGAGTAGTTGATAATAACCATATATCGTCAATATTATAATATCAAGCTACCATAAATGAATCTGCAAATTTTACAAATCGATTTGCATTATAGCTTGAGGCAAGACAAATAAACAAATATCACAGACATGTTAGGTATCCTAAAATATGATTTTATTAATAATCTTCCTCCTTTCTTTGTACATGTTGAGTAGACTACACTTTTTAGGTCAAACATATGCTATTTGTATTTCATCGATTGCAAAGTTCAAATCAGAACGAGAATACTAGCGATAGCTAACCATCAAAAACTAGAATATCGTTTACTAGCTTGATAATTCGCTATTACTCTAGCGAATTAGAGAGATTAGAGAGAGGCAATCTTTTTTCGATGGGGGGTTCGATGCTCCCTGCACACGCAAGGTCTCTCGCTCGCTTTCTCTCTCTGCCGTCCGCGCGCGTTGGAGCACAGTCTCTTGCCGCGTTCCAGGCAACCTGTAACCCGTGTTTTTCCAACCTTATACCCGTGAAAGTGCACTGGAACGGCAGTCAAACCCGTGACTTCCCACCCGTGAACTCGTACTAGATCGATGTACTCCCAGTTACGAGTTCTGACGTCACATAGCCCGCGGAGCCATACAAAACAACAATGGCAGCCCCCCCACACACAGTGAGAATGCAATTTAGGCCAATATAACGTTTCAGTCAAATTAATAATTATATTATAATGATAAAAATACACACACGATTATGTATTACAATTTTAAGTGTCTCTGAAAACTATAAGTATATATTGCGCACAGGTAGTTTGGCGTGACTGGATGGAACGCTACAAAGTCGTGAGTCGTGGTTTGAAGTCGTGATTTACCTGCTCAAAAACCTGCCTGGAACGCAGCATCTGTCTCGCGTGCGCGCTCGCTCTAGATTCCGGGAGATTTGAACTAATTTGCGGTATAACTTGTCGATCACGAGTGGCTCAACAGGTAGAGATCTATAGATAAACTCATCTTTCAGGCATTTGACCGACCGGGTTGACAATTTAGCGTGAGAAACCGGGGGTGTGGCGTGTGAGCGTGGGAAACCAATTAAATGCGGGTGTCTCACGGCCAATGCGTGAGAGTTGGCAGCTCTGCAATGTTGATCCTCGTTCTGCCTTTAACGCGATCACTTTCTCTTTTTCTTTTTTTGCTTTGCTCCGATAAAACCTTTGCTTTCTTGTTTTTCTGTGCTGCTTGGGCCATGACTATAACATTTGGCTCGCAAGTCCGATTTTAAGGAAGTGGGGGTGGTGGTGGTGGAAGTGACGTATATGCCGTAAAGCAGTCGAATTTTGTAGTTCTCTTTGTTCGCCGGTTACTACCCGAAACCCAAAGTTTAAAAGTACGATTAAAAACGCTACAGACCCCGTCAGGCTATGGCAGACGTGTCATTCAACCTATTGTAAGTCGATGTACCATCACAAGAGACTTGGAAATATATTATGAAGGCTGAAAAGTTACCTGTTGTTACTTTAAAGCCAATTAAAAATCAAACATATTCTGCAATTAATTACATGGTGAAGCAAACATCTTCTTTTATCACTGATATTGTACTTGTACACTGTAAAAAAAAATCCCGTAAAAAAACGGCAAATCTCTGGCAGCAAAGTTTCCAGACGGATTCAGACGGATTTTTTTTATCTTTTTTGTCATCCTTTGACTAGTGTTACATGATCCCGCTCTTATTCGTGCAAATGCCTTAAAACCATTTTGCACGACAAGAAGTCAAAAGAGAGCGCGCTGCCTGTGAATGTCCTGAATGTGAGAGTACTGATCCACTTTTGCGACACGACTGAAGCGTGGTGTCGCGACGCCTCCCCACATTTGTACATTGATGGGCGTTCCTCGTGTTTACCGCTATGGGCGTGGTTTTGAGCCAGCGGCCAGTCTAGAACAGAGGACTTGCGAGAGACTTCCCCCCGTCTCCATATGCTCTACTTCTATTGGATAGACGCTTCGCGTTTGACGGATTCATTTGCATAAAGCTGGGCATCGGCCAGCTTTTGGACGCGCAGCATTTTTTCAAATGAAGCGCCGCCTTCCCGGGATGCTTTGCGGGCGCGTTAAAGTCGCGTGACGTCACCCATAGGAATAAAGTGGAGCGCGGCGCAACAGAAGTGTCGCACGGACAAGTGGATCTGCACCGTGACTCACAGAAAAACGCGCGCATAATGCGCATGCACAGACCGCGTGCCAGAATACAGTTCTCTTTCGAGCTTGAACGAACAATAACACACACAATTATGCTAAAATGTCGTTTTGTCGATTATCTTCATAACATAAGAGCAGTCTTATGATGG